TAAACTAATCCACTTTCACTTACTATTTACAGACAAAACAAGTTTAATCATTCACATCAACATATAAATTTTATGTAAGAAATCCTAAAACAAAGACCCATTCTTCAATTTTGAAGAAACTATTAGAAAAGGTTTGAATACCTGCTATTAAGTAATCCAATTTTGTTGTTAGCACAACTAGTTTCGGTGTCTGTGTGACACCATCATCAGGCTGCACAAGGACAGTTTTCTACAAACCCTACCAATACCCTTTTTGGTTTGCTGAATGAAGGCTTGGCTATTTGTCATGTAGCCATGTAGTCTCCATAAATAAATCAATTTTACCCGTTAACTTGAAATTTGAAATATTGTGCAATGCGCTAGTGTTGCCATTTGTCACGGTGATTACAGATCAAATGCAATATGATTCGTCAAAATCATGAGTATCCCAACATTTAACCATTGGGCATAAAAATATTAATTTGGCCACTGACTGGACTGGACTGAGTCAAAATAGTTAGAGTGAACTTGACTGAGTTTGATGTTCGAGTCGTACTTTCAGTGCTGTTTATGTTGCTTCTGTATTTCCATAGTTTGTACAAAACAAAGTAAATTAATTAACGAACTCTATGAATAAAATAAAATAATCTTGTGACTTGTAACTATTATTAATATTATTATTAATCAACTTCAGATAAGCAAAGGATGTTATTAAGGTAGTCTAATAATGTTGTTGAGTCCAAATAAACCATTTAATTGATCCAATCTTTATTAAGCTTGCCTTCTGTCTTCTGCTTAAAATGGTAGAGCAATTGCAGTCGATGTTTGCACCACTCTATCAGCTGACGATAATGACTACAACTTAACTAACTAACACTGAAATAATCATCCTATAGCTTATTGCTGATAATATTTCATGATAAATATGCCCTTTCAAATAGCCTGAAGTGAAAAATAATCATCATGGTTGACAATTTGAATTTTTTAAATGATTAAATAAAAATATAACTAATTTACTTGGTACCGAAGGTATCGGTACCGACATTTCACCATCGATTCTCGGTCCCGGTACTTTTCCCAAGAACCAGTGGAACCGACATTTGACGTTAAGTACGGACCCATCACTAATAAAAAAGTATTAAGAAATACCCCTGCCGCAGCAAACCTGCACAGTAGTCTAGGTTCAGCACTTGTTGATAACACCCTATTTAATTAATATTAATGTTAGGGATTACTGTAAAGGATTTGCTGCTACAGGGAGGGAATGAAGTGTGTTTGTTAAAATGTTAGTAGCTTGCTTAGTATAAAATAAACAAATTTAATTAAAATATCCCTAAACAAGCAAAATACGACAGTTTTTTTATTGATGAGAAAAACATGGAGATGTAAAATTAACAATTTTTTGTAAGTTCTCCAAAATCATTAGACATACATCAACACTTCAATATCAGGGCTAGAGATATACAAGGGCTGGCTCACTCCTTTGATGTTAGCGGTTGCCGCCTGATCCTACTTCCCCTCTCCTGCCCCTCCTCAGTGACGTAGCGCTGGTACGTCGGCGCGGCGCGGCGGTAGCCTAGCACGGCAGTGCATAGCATATGTCACCCGGTATCTACGCGCATATTAATAATTGTGTTTATAAAATATGGAAATGTAAAAAAATCCAAATTACCATTTATACAATGTTATGGTCCAAAAACAATAAAATGACAAGTTTCACGATTTTGCACTACAAATTTCAAACAAAAGCCAAATAAATGTATTATCAAGAGATAAAGCAAAAGTTTACATTTTTAGACAATAATACTAGAGATCAAATGAAGTAAGTAAGTAAGTTTCACGATTTTGCACTACAAATTTCAAACAAAAGCCAAATAAATGTATTATCAAGAGATAAAGCAAAAGTTTACATTTTTAGGCAATAATACTAGAGATCAAATGAAGTAAGTAAGTAAGTTTCACGATTTTGCACTACAAATTTCAAACAAAAGCCAAATAAATGTATTATCAAGAGATAAAGCAAAAGTTTACATTTTTAGGCAATAATACTAGAGATCAAATGAAGTAAGTAAGTAAGTTTCACGATTTTGCACTACAAATTTCAAACAAAAGCCAAATAAATGTATTATCAAGAGATAAAGCAAAAGTTTACATTTTTAGGCAATAATACTAGAGATCAAATGAAGTAAGTAAGTAAGTTTCACGATTTTGCACTACAAATTTCAAACAAAAGCCAAATAAATGTATTATCAAGAGGTAAAGCAAAAGTTTACATTTTTAGGCAATAATACTAGAGATCAAATGAAGTAAGAGTTGCATATGTAAAATGATAATTTCAATAAATGTTTATGACTTTTAATAAATGTTTATATTTGTCTAGAAAAACATTTTGTTATTCACACATGTAATTTGTATTTTATTTTTCAAACACATAAACCCCACATGCCAACTTAAAATTAAAGTAAACTTATTCCCCTACATGAATATACATAGTTTTAAAAGAAAATATACATAAATAAATATTTTATACTTTTTTCTACAATAGTTATAGTTTTTTTTCTCTTTCATTTGGCGATCAAATCGTTTGTTCATCATGACGAAATGTTTCAAAAACGGACTGAATGTAATGTCCCAGACCTCAAATTACGTAATTATATCCACATAAAACAGTTTACAAACTAAATATGTACAAATTTACCACTAATAAATATGATTAAAGTGATAAAGTCACCCCTGCGATATTCGTTGTTGGTAAACAGTTAATGAAGTTCACAAAACCCGGCTAAAAATAGTGTCTCAAGTTTCTAAAAGTAATGTCACATTTCAGTCGAGGCACAATAAATAATATCGAAACTAAACATTTACAACTTTACAAATTATAATCATGATGTAAACTGATAAAGTAAAATCACACCAAAACTCGACTTGTTAGTTATTGGTTAACAGAGATTGAGGTCAGTTAGTCAGGCAACTTTATTTTAATGGATTAAAATATGTATATTAAATTTTATTGATGAATTGAAATTCTTTTCCTTTTTGTAAAAGTTACAAAATACTAAGTATAATGTATTTTTATACAACGTCAATGTATTTTATATAACCTCAATGAATTCTAAAAGTAATGAATAAATAATAAATAAATACAATAGTGATGGTCAAAACCAGAAATTTTGAATCTCGAAACCAAAAACGAAACTTAAATAATCGAATCCCGAATCTCGAATTTCAAAACTTGAACGCGAAACTTTTTAGTTACCTGGTCAAGGTTGCTAAAAAATAAAAATACAAGTAATGATTACATTTTCATTATGATTATGCAATCAAAACTGAAAGAGATTGACTCTTGATGTGACAGATAAACTTCAAACCCAAATAACATATTTTTTATAAACAACTAACATTAAAATAAATGCAACTCTTGTCATTGAAATAAACATAAATATTACATGAATTAGAACATTTAGTGGTCAATATTTCTTTGTGTTTAATAAATATCGAATATTGATATGAAACTGAATTCTATGCTGTTCCAGTATTTAAGATGCCTTTTGCAGTTCAGAATACAATTTACTTGTTTCATTAGTGTTAATGGAGATGTGTTTGCTTGATTGCTACTAGCTTGGGTGTAAACAATGTTAATAATAATGACACAAAAAATATAATAATTTTCAAAAATATAAGTGCCAAAACTTCCTATTTTGAAACTTTTGAATCTCGAAACCGAAACTTTTCCAAAGTTTTGATGGTTTTGAGATTTGAGATTTGGTTTTGACACATCACTAAAATACAATAAAAAATCCATACATTAAGATACATTCGAGCAATACGAACACAGATATTACACAGTAACTTAATGCATTGGATCAATAACTACAGTATTCTTAGCCATCGCTTTACAGTCCACTCCCAATATAATCCTTAAATATCTACTAATAGTATATTTTGTACCTAGGGGCTGAAAATGAGGTTTGCCGGCTCGAGATAGTTTTTAAGTTCGAGACAAAGTCGAGAACTTGAATTGATCGAGAGCTGCAAAACCATTTCGGTCCGTGGTACGAACGCTATTTTTCACCACACTATACTCTATTACCACTATTCACCACTATAATAATGCACACTGATAGTCAACACATCTACAACTTTAAGGTTATGTGAAGAAATAATTTTAAGAGGAATCAGCTAAAATAAAAATAAATAGTTGCTAGGCAACGGTGACAATAACACAATTCTATTGCAATGCTATATGGATTTTGATTGTGTATTCAAGACCCCACTACACTGTGTATTTAAAATGCATTCATGTTTTAAGTAAGTAAGCGGACAGCTGATTTTGCGGCCCCGGGCTGTAAAAACCTGCTCGGTCCCCAAATTACGATGACAGCTGGCATGGCCAGCAAAACGTAACTTTCAGCTACCAATTAACGTATGTAATACAGCCAAAAACATCATAGTGTGGTGAAAAGTAATTTTTTCGAACCTAAATGTGCGGCAATACCACCGCTCACACAGGCAAAGATATACTGTGCCGGGAGCCCGAGGTACCGCTGTGACGTCACAGCACCGGAGTGGAGGGGAGCCAGCTGGCATCACTTTCTGAGCTCGCGTGGCCTAGCCCTTGTATATCTCTAGCTCTGCTTCAATATACAAAATTATTTGTTTTGAGCTCAACAAAGCTCAACAAACATTGAAATAATCATCCTATAGCCTACTGTTGATAATATTTCATGACAAATATGCCCTTTGAAATAGCCTGAAGTGAAAAATAATCGATCATCATGGTTGACAATTTGAATTTTGTAAATGATTAAATAAAAATATAACCTATAAACTTGGTACCGAAGGTATTGGCACCGACATTTCACCATCGGTTCTTGGTCCCGGTACTTTACCCAAGAACCGGTGGAACCGACATTTGACATTAAGTACCGACCCATCACTATAAAAAACCATCCGTGTTGTCACTTTAGCCTGTAAGTCTCTCTCTATAGATTCAAACACCAAATAAAAATGTTCTTTTACAGTTCCATCACTTCTACCAGACCTGATTGCCAATGTAACTCTGAGGTTACAGAAGCCCAAGTGTGACCTAGACTCAGCCTGGCAACAAGAAGACTTGGGTGAGTTCACAATAACCACTTGTTATGTTTCCTGTATATTTAATGCCATTTTATGTTTCCATCAAATAATTCTGTGTTATGAAGGAAGGACTGAATTGTATATTTGGTTCAAGACGGGACGAGACAGGATTTTTATTCCCTTCCCGATTCTTGGGACAGGGCCGAATTTATTTCCCTGTGTAAAAAGGGTTGGTTTTTAAAATCCTGATTTAATATTCTTTCAGTCAATTGCACCAAAAATGCATTTAAAAAATTAAAAACCAAAAGGATTTTAAGGCCTGATATGGTTACCTGTAGAAAAGCAGCACAAGCTATAGTTATCATAAATTTTGTAATATGTACCGTACCTATCACAATGTCATCATGACTATAACCCGCGATCGTGAACCAATCGCCACCAACTGAAACATGTCCGAACCGAATTTGCGGCGCCATCTTCAACGTGTCCCGCAGTCACGGCGTCATTGTCCACGTATCTGGCAATCACAGGTCAATCATCAAAATGTCCGGATTTTGAATTTAAAATTAACCTGAGGAGTATATTGGATTGATGCTGAAGAGTGTGAAGTGCAGTTCTAACCTCGTAGCTTACTTTGTCTGCTGCTAGGCTACTGTGATTTTTTTTATCTGATGGCGAAATGCCGGTGTCGGTTGCTACCAAGCGGTAGAGGTAAAAAATATGGTGTTCTCGTTTTAGCGTCTGACGCAACGTTCGTTCATATACGGTCATTGTTACCGATTGTTTATTCTTTATTCTTTTATCTTTATTCTATATGCTCTTCCTTATTACCTCTACTCTATTCTCCTTTGAGGCTCTTTTCAATTTACCCTCGTGAAGTACTCTAAAGTGTTAACTATTCCTCTTGTGATGTCGGCCGGCTCTTCTTCCGATGGACACTCGACGCCAACACACTACACAACCAAGGGTGAGCACTAGACATTAATAGCCTCTTCTCATTAATTTGTAACTAAACCCTCTGTGTCCTCCTGTGATGATGTGGAGTAGTATGAGTGTAAATGAAGATACCTGGGCCCTATATATCTTCCTCTAATCACTACCAAATCTCGCACATTTCCTGTTGTTACCCAACTCTATTGCATGGAAACTATTTAACTCGTCAAAGTGCACAATATTACCTTAGCTGCCTATCACGGCCAGCTTTTATGTTCTTTAATATATCTAATTATAATATAGTGAACAGAGAAATTTATATATATATATATCTGGACTTATTCTAATTCGTCAAAAAAGTAACTAGATTTACCAAATAATGTGAATTCTAAATTTGTGATATTGATCGCCAGACCACTACCATTCGAGAACCTAATACATTACATAATTAAATTAAAATAAGTTTGCCCTGGCCTACACCCTTCCCCAACCCCTATATCTATTAGCTAGACATTCTTATGCTACTACTTATCCGGTCAAGTTGTACAGCTGCAGGCGGTCGACACACTACTACTGTTCTACTCTCATCGCGCGTGCTTGCCGGGCCGACTGCGCGCGCAACCGTGTCACGTGACTTGCGCTACCTATTGTCTTGTAGCGAGTCGCTACACTCCTTTGACGATAATTTTAATTTGTCAATTTGTGTAATTTGTGTTATTTTTATTGTGTTATAGCCTTATTTAATTCTCATTCCAAGTTTTTATTTTATTAATTAACTAGTGCAACTGTTGCTCGAATTCAAGCAATTGCAAAGTATTACGGGCGTTGTTTCAAAACGAATAACAGTCATAATTTTTGATTACTTAAAAGATCAACTTTAAGATAATGTAATCAATATACTTGGGAATAACGAATAGAAATTCTAACGAATAGCGCTATTCGTTCGTTTTTTTGGCTAACTTCTATTTTATTAGTTAGTTTTTAAAAAGAGCTGGAAGTAACTTCTACTCAGTTAGTTTAATAGACAACAAATAGATAATATATTCGCTAGTTTTAAATCGTTAGCTTTTCTGGTCAGGCGAAAGTACTTCCCAGTACGGGTTATTTATTTGATGTGTTCAGTGAGGGGTGCGTGCGTACGTGAGAGGTCAGCACCCTTGTGACAAACAACGTGGGGGGTGGGGAAAGAGAAAGTCAAAGTCCAGTCGCTTTGGTATGCAGCGGACCCGGGGTCGAGCCAATGGCAGCCAATAACAATACCCCAAGCACCAAAGGGTGGAAAGGGGGAATGTTTGTTTGGCGATTGATATGTACTGTAATCTCAAGTGTCAAAACAATGTCTTCACTTCAGTCGATGGGCGATGCTCAATATCTGACCGTGACAGGTGTTAATTTTTTGTTAGTTTCTTAGTTGTCTTGTCGTTATATATATTTTAGTGATAGTTAAATATTTTAAATACATAAGTTATTAAGGTGAACAATTTTAATGAAGTAGGGATAGATTAATAATATTTGTTTGCAATGGCGGGCGAGTGTGATATCAAGTGACCAATCTTAAGTGACAAAGTGACATATTTCAACAAGTTTTAAAAATGAAAAGGGTGGAAACGCGTTAATCGTATATTTTGTACCAAGGGCCGAAAATGAGGTTTTGCCGGCTCGAGGTAGTTTTTAAGTTCGAGACAAAGTAGAGAACTTAAATCGATCGAGAGCTGCAAAGCCATTTCGGTCCGTGGTACGAACGCTATTTTTCACCACACTATACCCTATTACCACTATAATAATGCACACTGATAGTCAACACAACTACAACTTTAAGGTTATGTGAAGAAATAATTTTAGGAATCAGCAAAAATAAAAATAAATAGTTGCTAGGCAACGGTGACAATAACACAGTTCTATTGCAATGCTATGGATTTTGATTGTGTATTTAAAATGCATTCATGTTTTAAGTAAGTAAGCGGACAGCTGATTTTGCGGCACCGGCCTGTAAAAACCTGCTCGGTCCCCAAATTACGATGACAGTGCTGGCATGGCCAGCAAAACGTAACTTTCAGCCACCAATTAACGTATGTAATACAGCCAAAAACATCATAGTGTGGTGAAAAAATGTTTATTGTGTTTGTACCCAAAACAAAAATAATTAAAGCATCTGTCACAAGTGCTTCGAGGTAAGTGGAGAAAAAGTGTGATGGTCTCGTTTTTAACTTGAAGTGGAATAGGCCTATATATTTTTGTAATGAATATAATTTTTATTTTTTAGTACAGTTATAGTATGTTTCTCAATGTGTTTCCCATGCTCTTTTAAACTTTATCTCGCCACAAATAGGTCACTTTTAAATTTAGTAATAAACTATACTTTTATCCAATGGAAAAATTACTTCATCAGACTTTAAAAAAATTATCTGATATTTCGTAATCCATTAATTGCTGTCCATTAATTGTTGTACAATAAATTTTAGTGAAAATTCAGCTAATTGAACATCAACAAACTGTGTTTTTACCTAACCGGGAACTTTAGTTGTAACTTATGTTTGTGTATCGAAAGTAGTGTTTATGTCAGGAAAGGTGAGATGATCACTATTTGTTTTTGTCTTTTGAACTATTGAAAACAGAGTGATGACAAGTTTTTGTATCACCTTTGTCGGGGAAATAAATATGTGCACTCGAGTTTGAGCCTAAATATATCTGAGATGAATAATCCGATTTTGTTGAAACAAAAATTAAATATAAGCTGGTTTAAATACGTTTTACGTGGTGTCAATTAACAAAAATTCCGTTTACCAGAAACATTTATATAGTTGAAAGATCCTAAAAAGTACCGGTTTTTAAGAAACTCTGCACTAACACTGAAGTTTAAAATTTATTTGTAAACAAACCACTGAGCCAATCTTTCTGAAATTTTTATGGCTTATTGGTAGGTTCATTGTTAACATTTCCATGCATTTCAAACATTTTATTCACAATAGTTTTTATGCTGCTGTTAATTTTTAAAACGTAAGCTAACATCGTTAAAAAGACACTGAAAATTTTGTTCAAAATACCATCTTGTTTGCTGTGACACAAGAAATAACACCAATATGACAGATTTTATAATGCGAACAAAGGTGGTTTTTAAACAGATTAATATTTGTAGACAAAAATTTCTCCTGTGACTGGTCACCTGGTGTTTGTACGATATTTCCCAGCCGGGTGGGAGCACGTGCGAATCTGCGACGTTGCCGATGTGTACCTGACTACCACACTGATTGCTTCAGTATTCACTCACGGCAAACTAATGTGTAAATCATTATTTAGTTATATTTACATAAATTTACTAACAAAATATTCACTAGTCATGAAACAAATACATTATAATAAGATAACTACAAATTAAAAAACAACTTTGTTCACTGCGAACGCCTGTTCAAAGTGGCAAGCCTAGTCATCACTAACAGAGTAACAGACGAGGAAGAATCAGCGACACCAATTTTGAAAAACAACTTCTTTTAAAGTTTAATAGGCATTTAAAGTAAATTTTGTTGTAGTAGGCCTAATGAATGTTTTTACATTACATGTAATATAAATGTGACGATGTTTAATTAATATTTAATTAAAACACAATAATTAGTAACCATTAAGATGTGTCATTATTTCATTACATATGAAATCCTTTAAAACAACCGTCCAACAAACAGCTATCATCTACAAATGTCGAAAACTAACTTTATTTTATATCAGTTAGTTTTTCAACTAACTAATAACTTCTATCAGTTACTTTTTAAACTTACTAACTAGTAACTTCTATCAGTTACTTTTTATGGGACTATCTTCTAACTTCTAACCAGTTAGAAATTTTGACTAACTTTCCCAACTATGGAATCAATGACTCCACTCCAGTTATTGAAATTGAAAACGAACGCTCTTGTGTGTATCATGTTTTTACTATGAACAGTTATAATTAATACAAATTATTCGTCCGTTGTAGTAAACAAAATCTTTTATCCATAAGCAATACATTGGGATTTTGATGGCCCATGGGGCAAAGCCCGAGGACTTTTATCACAGGAGTTGGTGAAAGGGGGCATTTACACAAACAATACTTCATTTTGACACATCGTTTGTAAAAATCCGTCCATTATTAATAGAGGAGTAGTGTTTCGTAGATATCGCCTTCACGTATCCTATACTCTAATATGAGCAATATTTGCTTGTATGTATGTATGTATGCTTGCTAGGAAGTGGTGAAGGAAGTAGTAAAGGCGAGCTGTCCGGAGTGTGGGAACTGTTTATGACGATTAGATTCATTAAGGTATCTGCAATCCTAAAATGCTATAGGAAGGGAGGGAAACAGGCCCGCGACATAGGAAGTAGTAAAGGCGAGCAGTCCGGAGTGTGGGAACTGTTTATGACGATTAGAATAAGGTATCTGAAATCCTAAAATGATATGGTAAGGGAGAAAAAAAGGTCCGTGACGTAGGAAGTGGTGAAGGAAGTAGTAAATGCGATCGGTCTAGAGTGTGGGAACTGTTTATGACGATTAAATTAAGGTATCTGCAATCCTAAAATGGTATAAAATGGAGGGAAACAGGTTCACGGCGTATGGAGTTGCGAAGGAAGCAGTAAATGCAAGCATTGTGTGTGGAGTTTGGGAATGGATTAATGTATCTGCAATACTAAGACTGCTTTCAGAGTAAACTCATGATTTCCCCCGAGCAAAGCTCGGTCCCCAGGTACTTATATATAAGGATAGTTAATTTTTATTTCACACACACTCCAAATTAAACAAAGGGAATGAAACGAAACAACATACATAATAATACCGTAAATGTGTTTATATTTAATATTCATTTTATAACCCACTTGAAGAACTCTTGTCTACTTCGCGGCTGCTTGCCATCTGCTCACATTGTGTGACAACTAAGTACATCCATTGTGCAATCTGGCTTGTCTTAAGTTTTACTGTTTGATTTGAAGAAAACTACTTTTTGACTATGATAGTGTATTGTAAATAATAAATTTATTATAGGCTGTACCAAACCGAATTTGTACTGAGTAAAATGATGTACTGAACTGATGGTGGTAATTAGGCTAGAACCGTACTTTACCGACTTTTTCGGTGCTTCGAAGACCCCTGATATAATATGGCTCTATTTAACTGAGTTAGATTAATTGTCCTAAACCTATCTAGTATCACAACATCATCTGACTACATTCATTATTGGAAAGTAAATAAAAGAAACGTCTTATAACACTTAAAACATATATTTACGCTTATACTGTTACTCACAAGACGGTAAATATACAAAACAGATGGTAAGTGGAAATGATAGTAACCATCGATTTCAATGGATTTCACCTGGTATCTTTTTGATTTTTGATACTGTACCCCTAGTAACAATTAGTAACAACAATACTACTTACTTATTTCAATCTATTTTATTATCGGATCTCAGTTAAGGAGCTTTAAGAATTAAACTTAAAAAAAAATGTGTATAATAAAAAAAACATGTAATTTAGAGACTTTTAAAATCATTGAATTCAAGGTATTTTTATCACATTAAATGTCATCTGATTGTTCAAAAAATTACACAAAGTGTAGGCACGGTGTGAAATTTGCTGTTACAGGGGTATTTACTTGGCTATAATTATCAACTTTTTTAAACATTTCAACATTTTAACACAAATGTCAGTTTCCACATCTACTTCCTTGTGATATTACAGAGAAGGCAACCCGACGCACCGTGGCGCTGCTACACCGTGTTACTACCCCACAAAACCGCAGTTTGGGTGGGGGCGGGGTGGTGGGGGGTCGGCCATTGGCCGGCCCCGCCTTCTGCTACTGCTTCCCTCTCATCCGATCGGCGCTGATGCATGTGATGAACCGAGATGAGGACCCATTGCTCACCTCGGGTCTACAGATCATCTCCTGTCATGCACAGATACGCAGCCACAGTGGTCATCAGGATGATCTGGACCTGTTCCACCCATGGCTACTGCCCAGAAAACAGATGTTTGACCTGCTCATTGACCTTATCAGTGAGTACTTCAGCTATTAAATTAATAAATAAAAAATAAAATTGTCTGTAGGCATAAGTTTTGTTCTGTCTTCATGCAGGAGGATTATAAAGAAGATCAAAGTAATGATTTTAAAAGATAAAAAAGTTCAACTAATTGGAATTAATATGGATTAGCATATACATTGAGGTGTTCAGTAAAAAATAAAATAAAACTAATTAGGGATGATGAATCAATGATGATGTCTACTCGGCAGCGGTAGATGACCAGAATTTTGCCGCGATTGTACAAGACGACGATGATGTTTTGAAGACCCCGGAAGTCGATAATAATGTACACACGGCCACGGAAGATGATAAGAATTTTGCGAATTTTAAGAATTTTTTTAACGTCCTTGACTGGTGGGAGAAGATAATCATATTCAGACGACCACGGGAAATTATCAGAAATTGGCCACGACCACGGGATATGATGATAATGTCTACATGACCATGGGAGATGTTTGTGATTTTGCTATGATCGCAGGAGACGTTCATAACGTGTCCGTGACCATGGGAGACAATATAAGTGTTTCTGTTACTGCAGAGAGATATTCAGGATTTTGCCTCGACCGCAAAAGACAGTGATGATGTTTCTGTGACTGAGAAAGATATTCAAGATTTGCAATGATCCTGGAAGGTGATGATGATGTATCCACGACCGCAGGTAATGATCACGATATCCTCGAGTTGGCTTGACCGAAAATTTCATCTGGCTTACACACCTCTAGAATAAAATTTTCTTTTCGTGTTAATTGTTTACCTTTCATGGTAAAGAATAAAAGATCTTCATTTACCTTTTATATGGTAGTTATTTAATGTGTTAAGAAGAGTATAAACTTAAATTGGATAGGTCTAGTTAAAAAAGTTAAGTTAAAAAAGTCTAGTTAGAATTTTTCCTTGTTGCATTCATTTTTCTTTTTACTTGTAAAACACCCCATTACCTCAAAAATACTTCAAGAAAGGACATAAAGACAGGGGTTACTGTAGTGTAACCAATCTATTTAAAGAATTTGGTAAAACTATAAAAAAAATTGTATCGGTACCTACCTATCAAGAATTGAGAATCAATTTTTTAGGTACTGGTATTGGTATCAAGAATCGATACATTTTGGTATCGACACATCACAAAAACAAATTATTACTATTAGGCCTACTTTTAAAATAACAGATGTGAGCAGTTTCCTTTTTACTGTAGTCAATTTATTTACCTACAGGTAATTTTACTTAAGTCAATGGCACAAACTAACCAACACAAGTAGACATCTCATCCCATTGTAAAATCTGAAGCTTGTTTTTTTTTATGTTGGTGTATTGCTGTTACCAACTACTGATGTTATTTACAGACCACACCAGTGGGCGTGTACAGCAGCAAGCAGTGGCTACACTGCTAGACGTGGCAGCATCAGGCTCTGGTGCACAAGGCTGTGCTAGTGCTAGTGTGGACGAAATTGATGTGTTATTAGGAGCCCTGCAGAACCCTTCCCAGGTGGTCAGGGATACAGGACTGAGGGTGAGTGAGCAAAGTTATTATCATGTTTTTGCATTATAGTAAACATTTTATGTCTAGAGGTTTCAGTCTTATTACTTCCGCCAATATCAGTGTGATCTCCTAGGGGTAGATGGGACTTTTAATTCCCAAAATGGTACAGGTAAGATTTTCATCTCTTTCCTGATTTTTGGGATGGTATTTTTCTGGGGGCTGTAGACCAGTCTTTTTTACTTTGAATTGTGTCATTACTGTTGTAATTTTTTGGTGTCGGGCCAAAATGTGTTGTTTTGTATAATATATAATAGTTCATACTAGGGATGGACGGGTCTCAAAATTTCGGGAAATTTTAAATCTCGTTCTACAAGACAAAATTATCTTTTGGTCAAGATTTTTTCAAGACAAGATAAAAAAAAATTTAATTTTAAAATTAAAAAATACTTTGAGAAGGCGTTTTTATTTAATTATCATGGAAATATTGCTTTAATTGTTTTATTTTTTTTTAAATAGCAAATGATGAGTTAGTTTTGTTAGTGTAAGCAGTGTGAGACATGTTTTACTAGCCAAAATAAGTCACTCCAAAATCATTCTAAAAATAACACAAGACTTAAAAATTGTTACAAATCTACTAGCCTACCATAGCTATTTAAGTTATTATAAAATCTTCAGTATTAGTTGATTTTAGTTTTCCCTTCTACTTAGACAAAAACGATAATATCATCTCTAAATACCAGAGCAAATCGAAGGTAAGTTTTAGGTTAGTTAACCCTAACCAAAAACACACCTCACAGTACTGTCCGCGAGAGTAAAGAAGTCCCTTGAGCCAGAGCGATACGCAGCTATGTTTGGAGGGTATCGCCTCGCCTCGCCTCGATGTCTGTCTGTAAACAACTGTTGTAAACATAATTACTCATATCTTTGTTTTGGTAAGTGTATTATCATCATATGGTCACGTCAATTGATTCATTACAGTCTCCTGTGTTCGCGTAGTGACTTCTGTTTTGTTTTGGACAGTCCTTGTAGCTATGGATTTAAGAAAACTTGGTGCTACTATACATAGTGGAGAAAGGGATTTAATTAGACGGGTGATCGAGTGTTGTGACAACGAATGTAAAGACAAAAATTTGTTAGTGCCGATAGAAAAGGCAACAGAACGTGCCGCAAACTATTGTAAAGTGCCAGAAAAAAACTATTAAACGAATTAGAAAAGCCAGCAAACAAACTCCGGATGAAAAACTCTGTACACCCGGGAAAAAACGCAAGAAGGCTGACCACCATAAAGTACAAATAGATAGCTTTGATAGGCGTGTAATTGTAGATGTAATACACGATTTTTACAAGAACAAAATAAATTTCCTACATGTAAAAAAACTATTACCTGTTTTGAGAGAAAGAATTAATTTTAAATGGAGCGAATGGGCACTTCGGCGTCTCTTAAAAGATATGGGGTTCAAGTGGAAGAAATTTGGTCCATAAAAAATGTTTGATTGAAAGGCCCGACATCATTAATTGGAGGTTTAAGTATTTTCGAGAGATAAGAAAGCTAAGGGAACAAAAAAGGAAACTTTTCTATCTGGACGAAACTTGGATAGACAGTAATTTAACATTCCAGTAAATTTGGCAAAGAAGTCAATGGCGTGTTACCTGATATGAACGCGTCAAACCGCGTGATTTGTCGTAGACATTGGGTCAAACGAAGGGATTTTGCTTGTTTTCTTGATTTTTTGCTTAGGTTTATGGTAATAGGATTAATAACTTTAATAATAAGTTGTTTATTGCGATGAATGCTATTGAAACTGCTGTACTCGTGTACTTATTATAATAATAATGTACCGGTAATATGAATTCACCATAAGTATATTCATGGATCAACTAATTATTTGGGATTAATGCTTTCAAACTCGGATTTAAAAAGGATTTTATTGTATTGTATTTTATTGGTATTGTTACATTTAACTAAACAAAAATCTTAAAGTAGAAAGGTTATTAATTTGCCTTAGTAACAGTAGAAAATGGGTTTCCTTCAATTGTATGACTATGCAAAAAAATATTATGACATGGATTTATAAAAATCATACAGATATTAAATTAAACTAGCAGAGCATCGTGAAAACGGCTCTACAGTAATTGTCGTGCGAAACGTTCAAGCGTAACGCCTTCAAACTACGAATAGGCCGGAGCTCAGGGGACTTCTTTACTCTCGCGGACAGTATTTTAATAGAGATAACGAGGTCATTTAAAGACGTCTAGCAGCAGGAAGAGTCAACACAAATTTATTTTTATTTGAACTCTGTAGTTCTCTTCTGCTTTATCATCTATTTGTTCTAGAAAAATCGTAATTGCTAAGCAAACGCTACTCTAGCAACAGCCAATAAACAACGAAATGAGAACTTGATACCTCTTCTTAGGTCCTTGACTTCGAGTTCACACTTTATATAGTGGTGAGAAAAGTTTTTAGTCGAGCGGCTGCGTGGCAGGTGCTAGCAGTATTAATGTGCCATATTGGTTATGTTTCATTTCCAAAATCACCTTGGCTATTTTATAATAATAGTTATAATAGATTAATTTTAGCAAGAGGAAAAGGTAATAGTTCTGATCCAGCTTTAAATTTTTTGCATTCATACCATTTATATTAAAATATGTCCATAAGCCGCATTTACACCAACGTTTCAAACAAAAAGTTGAAAACTTTTATTGAAAACAGTAGTTTCAAGTTTTTTTGCAAGTTCTTTTTCAAGTTTTTTTTCTTTTTTTCAAGTTTGCAATTTTTATTTCATGGTTTTATTTCCATGTTTCATGAAAATAATTGAAACACTTTCGCCCTTGATTATGACTCGCCTATGTTCTGGTTCCTGGAATCAGTCCTTCTGAGGATGTCATTTTGAATGAAATATCCATACGTAGTTTTTCATGTTTTTATTTTTGTAATCGTAAATAGTTTGGTTCCACAGGACTTGCTGCTCTCTGTACAAGCTAATTAACTTTAGAATGTTGTCATCTCACTCAGTAAATTTTCCATTGTCACTCACCACTGATCTAACTCAGAACAAGCACGAGATAACTCACAACAAGCACGAGATAACTCACAACAAGCACGAGGTAACTAGTAGCAGTCCAGAGAGGATAATGACACTTGAGTCGAGACACAGGGTGGTGCGAGTGATCACGTGAGTGAGAGTGGAGGTGGCAGCGTAGGGGATGGCGGGAAAATGTTTCTGTTTTGTGTTTCAACGCAACATAGTGACCGAAACCAGTTTTGCAAACAAAAGTTTGCAACTCCCTTTGATCTTTATCGACTTCAGGTGGAAACAAAAATTTCTGTTGCAAACACTGAAAAACTGTTTGCAACAGCAAAATATTTGTAATGAAATTGAATATACAATTGTTAATAGTGGAGTCTGATACTGGTTCTTGCAGTTTTCCAACTGTCAAGAAAAATGACCTCACTTGAGCTTGGCCTGAAGTTAATTTCTGTCTCGACCCGACCTCACAGGCCATCTATTGCCCTGAACTGGCCCAAAAATTTCACGGTGATCCACAGACCCCTAGTATTTTTCTTCTCGTGCAACAAGGGAACTTCAAAGTATTTTAAAACTCATCTTATTATAAAGCTGAGGAAGCTTGATAAAGAATGCTTTTCACTCGAAGTTTCAATGGGGATAGTATGATTTCTCACCATTATGAAACAGATTAAAGACTGTTTTGCCTCTCAAACCCTATTTTAATTCTGTGATGTCCCTGTTTGGAGACCTCAATTCCTTTTACCCATAATACAGTAGACTCCCTCTTATTCGGACACCTTTTAACCGGACATCGGATTAACCGGACTACACTCGGCGGAAATGACATCTGTTTAATCGGACAATTTTTATCAGCACATTGGTTCAACCGGACTAGATCGGCAGGAAGTGGGCAGTTCTGAAACGACTGTTCTTGTGGGAAAGATTTGAGACCAGTGTTCACGTGTCTAAATACAATGCACTCCTAAATTTAAGTCGAATATCACAGTAAATAGTCGTTTTCATGAGTTTTTGGGGACGTCGGTTTAACCGGAAAACCCGTTATCCAGACTGGCCTCGGTCCTGAGGAGTCCGGATAAGAGGGAGTCTACTGTACACTAGAAATGGCAACATCTGCTCACAGTAGTACTCAGCAGTGTAAGCAATATTATCAACGGATGCTTGTTGCAGGGATTGACTGTGATAGTTCCTGCACTGCCGAAGCAGTCAGACAACGAGGACCTTGTACTTAGATTAATCAGAAGAGTCTGGGTCGCAAGATTTGATGTTGCAGAGGAAAACAGGTTTGTTGATGGCATACTTTTCAATTCTTGTTTCCATTTAGAATCTTACATCACTTGGTGGTAGGTTAGTTGCAATTGCAACAAGGGCCATAAATGGGTAGGTTAATTTGCAACTACAAATCCTGTAGGCCTCTTTTAACCCTTTCAGGGCTAGGCCAATAATTTGTATTTCATAGGACTTTTTTGTTTGCCTTTTAATTCCATTACCTTTTGTTGAATTTTAACTGTATTGTTGTCACTATTTTATTAATTAGGATAATTTTGAAAAATAAGACAATAACAAATATATAACAAAGTCTGGGTATTTGTAGTAAACATTAAATAAAACTTTGTTTTTGTTGTAAATCTTCAAGCTTTCTTATAAATAGTAATGTTATGATAGCATTGTTTGTCGCGACACTTCAAAACGAAATTATGATTTCCGACTAAGTAATTGATTGCGCGACAATAATTAAATAGCCAATTAATTTAGGACTCTTGAACCTAACCCCGCACTGACACCAAGTGTGACAGGTAGGAATGAAACGACGAAAATGCACTACGAATAAATAATTTATTTACTTATGATAAAAACAGTGGTAAAGTATTTAGCTATCGACTTGCTGTAGGAAAGATGAGTGATTAGTCTGCGTTTAGTTTACAAACTCGATACTTATTAACACGTTCGCTACTGAGCGTCGCATATATGCGACGCCGCGGTCATTGCCACAGACCGAGGTATACATTTGAATCTTACACACAGACCGGCTGTCACTTGGAAAACAGTACACACAGACTACGGGCGAAAACCTGTAAAACAGTGATCATTTACATTGTAATACGCTACAATCGTGTTTGTAATTAATGTATTCTTGTTTTTTTGTATTATTAATAACCTTTTGTAATGTCGCATATTTGCGACGCCCGGTCTACAGCGAAGACAATAGTGAAAATTATCATAGTTTTCTTGAATTAGACCAAACGTCGCATATATGCGACAGTTCATTTTTTGTGTTTTGAGGTAAAAATAAGTAAAATAAAAAACTGATTGATCAAGAACAGTTTATAACCGAACAAATATGAAAGCTACATAGGATAGTTCAGCATACATACTGCATACATACAAACAGTGATGCAAAAAAGTAAAGACCAGTTTTTCCAACTATCATATGACGTCACCAATCATCATATCCACAGACCAAGCGACGCAGTTGTGCGTCAGACATCTCTGTAGACCACTGCAGGGAATTCAGTGCCTTCAAATAGACCGTTACAAAGATATAAGCATTTTAATAACATTAGAACCCCGACGCAAATATGCGACGGCAGTCTATTTTAATGTGACTAGCCGACGCATATATGCGACGGCAGTCTATGGGTGGAACCCGGCCGACGCATATGTGCGTCGCTGGTCCTCGTGAATGAAAAATTTCGTATTATTGCAGTAGCGAACAAGTTAATAGTTACAATACTAGCTGACGATTGAGAAAGAATACAATTTGGATATGAGTCACTTAGTTTTACAAAGTTAAGTTCAGATTTTATTTTTAAAATACATTTTAGAAGAGTGAGGGAAAGGCGACAATTTAGATGACCGACCGAGCCGAATTTAGAATTTAGACTAACTCAACTGAGTGTGCACTGCCCATAGCCCAGAGTTGGGCGTGGAGGGGAACCAGCCAATCACGTTGCGGCTATGCCGCGTGACGTCAGTGCAAACCCTGGGCAGTGCTGCTGCCTAACGATTCATCAGGGCATTAGGCAAACTATAGCTGCGCAATAACTGATTTCATCGAGCGACTTGCTGAGCTGTATCAGCAAATTCCAGCCATGCGCGTTACACTTTCCGAGAACGTTGGCCTGACCCAGCGCTGAGCCATGCTGACGGAATATTCCATGGTGAGGCAACTGGTTGACGCAAAAAGCTGGGAGGTTAACAGTCCAATATTACATACCCTCTTTTTATATTTGAAATAAAGCAAAGCTTCTGTGACGGTAGAGACAGGGTTTCCTGAGGGTGTAACAAAAACCTCCCCAACTGATATGTAATGGGTCTGGGAATTTTTGGGGCCGTCACAAAAGCAAAATCTCATAAAATCAAAAGACATCTAGTTTACAATGTAATATTAAATTTGACCTTGATTTAGTATGATAAGGTTATTATAATGTAGCCATTTTAGGAAAAATAGTTTTTTGCAGCAAAGCCTCAGTAACACAATTTATGACCAATGTTGTGGTTCAACTGAAAAATATCATCTAAATAGTCCGTGACTAACTAGTGCTGCTACCTTGGTACGCATTGAACAACCTGCTGTAGCACTATGTGTTCCCAATCGTTGGCGTCAGCTTAAATACCTGTTTTTAACTCCTCAGTCCCCAAGCACAGATAGTCGACAAGGCTAGGGCATGTGTCTCTTGGCCAGTGGCATTCGTTTGCTCAGGTTCGATTCCCGTCCTGTGTAGCAAATAATTGGTGACCTGTGTGTTTTTAGCGATATACTACATCCACTGGGGCATAGTAAGATGTTCATAATCCTTGGTTTAGACATACACCTCGAATCATCGGATTGGGTGATTCTTTTAGCTAAGTGGTTGTTAGTGTATCCTATGAATATGCAGGTCACCAATGGCCGTTTTGCTACTTTTTGTTAAAATAACCTTCCTCTCTATATCCCTTAGAGATTTTAGTAAACGCCAAAATATATCGTCGCATAGCACTCAAAGGGTTAAGTAGGTAGTTCAGTTGTGACTATATGTCGACAAAGGTGGTTTACTTGTCACCAAACAATAGTAATTAGCTTTACTAAAAGTTGGCCTAGAATGAATATTGATTGAACATATCAAAGTTCAACTTAGTAATAAGTTTATCTTCATAAAAAGTAGTGATGGGTCGGTACCACTTCAATGTTGGTACCCGTATCGGTTCCTAACCAAAATCGGGTTCGGTACCATTGGTACCTACTTTTAAATTTGGCTGCTTAATTGTTATATTTTTTAAACAAAATGCAGTATCGCTATTTTAATTTTTAAAACTGATGATTTTTAAATAGTGTAGAATCATTTTATTAAGGGATTAAGTAAATAAAACTTAGGCCTATTTGTACAAAAAAACAATTAAACAACCAAACTTATTCAAATCAAAACAATATATACCATTGCAAAAGTGTTAAATATACCTATTTGTTGAAATGATTCACTGCTAAACCAATAATTTTAACATAGGCTACTTACCTTGGAAAGAAAAATGGCTCTAGACATTTTTTAAACTAAGTTAACTGCCTAGTAAGTTTTAGCTAACTATTTAGAAGGGAGTAAATTTGAGTCATTTTGTACCTATAATTAAGTTTAGGCTTCAGTATTAAGGAAAATTTAGAACTAAAGTATTTATGGAAAGAACGTTTTGAACAACAATTTTCAAGCAAAATGGTTTATGTTACCTGGCTTTGTCAAGTGATCCTGCTTCAGTAGTACACTACTATAGTTTCGGACTTAAGAGTCTTCAATAGCAAAGTGGCAACTCAGACGCGACCCTGCGACCCAATTCTGGCGGCGCTCTGTAGAACTACCCGAAAGCCTTTTCCGGTATTACGCGTGCCGCATCACACAAGTAGTTCTCCCACGCCCCTATTCAAACCCTTGTAGGCGAAGAAAAAAAAAGCGAGTTGACGACCGAGGCTAGGTCGACCCGATCGACTTCGACAGCTGTTTTACTGTCTCTCTTTCTTTGCATGTGTAGGGGTGGCAAGGGTTGTAAAATTGCTGAAAGTGAAAGGGATGTCGCCGGCGCTACATTCCAAGTGTTTGGCCCCTTGTTGCTAAGACTGGGTCGGTTACTCGAGATTATACAACAGCGTGTGTTCACGTGTTTCGTACAAAATTGGGTCCACAGTCACATTAAACTATTATTTTATACAATAGCTATAATATTCCACATTCCAACCAAATATCTCGCCGGAAGTAGTTTTTCATTAAATGATTAGGCATTTTGATTAAATGATTTGTAACGAATCGAATTAAACCATGGCTGTGGTTACTAGTGACTTACACAGTTAGCAAGCCAAAGGCGAGTATGCTTAGTAAAATAAGATTCAGGACAAGTAGTCCTGAAGTTATGACAGGATAATACTTTAATACAGTTGCAGACATTGTAAAATATTGACGTACACACATTTTCTTTTGCCCTGCATGTGACACATAGGAATATTTAATGACACATTTTTATCGTAAATAAAGAATTGATTGTGAACCAAACTGAACTGCCAGTCTGTATTAAATTACTATTAAACTGGTAGTGATTTCTAGTTGATTGTTGATAATGTTTTGTTGTGATGATTCAAATGCGGATGCCTTTCTCTTATGAAAGATTTTGATACACTTACTTCAATTGATCGTACTGTAATAGAAAATAGATATTTTACGTAAACATTATATATGTTCTTAGAGCTTAGCACGGATACTAGAACAGTCACGGTATGGATCATAAACATAAACAAATGATGTTACTGGCCCGAAAGTAAACATGATTTAACATTGCTTACATGGAACTGACTAAACGATCATGTTTATGCTATTAGCATACGTAATTTGATTATGTTTATGATCTACAGTATATAGGTTTCTGTTCTAATATACGTGAAGCAACTTTACTTAACTTAACTTTTTATGATATAATGGAAGATAAAATTAAAACACGTGTTATATACAAAATAAACTTTACTATTAATGAAGACATCTGCATAAATAAAACATTGTTTACAACAAGTAGTGTTTTGTACCAAATAACTAATTGTTACATTATCAAAAACGTACAACCTGATTGGGTCTTCTTATCTTATCTTATCTAACAGGGGCAGGTCGAGACCTTAAAGCACTTCATCCGAAGTCGAATATTTGCGTACCCCAGACAATTGCTTTCTTGTTGACCTACAAGTTAAGGCGCCCAATTAATGCCTGTAGCTTCCCAATTAGTTCATCCTCAGGAAGGTATCTACCTCTAGCCATATTTCCAAGAGTTATCAATC